AGAGACTCACCCGGATCTACATTCAAGAGATAGTTCGCCTTCATGGTGTACCTGCATCCATTATCTCCGATCGAGATAGCAGGTTTACCTCGAGATTCTGACAATCACTACAGAAGGCTCTTGGAACTAATTTGGATATGAGCACGGCTTATCATCCGCAGACTGATGGACAGAGTGAGAGAACAATTCAGACCTTGGAAGACATGTTGAGAGCCTGCGTCATCGATTTCGGTGCGTCATGGGACACTCATCTTCCTTTGGTTGAATTTTCCTACAACAACCAACTACCATACCAGCATCAAGGTGCGCCGTTTGAAGCCCTCTATGGCCGTAAGTGCAGATCCCCTCTGTGCTGGGCTGAAGTGGGTGACACGCAGCTAGCCAGGGGTCAAGCCCCGACAGTACTCTCACTAGTCCTGAGATCATCCGAGAAACAACTGAGAAAATTATACAAATCCGAGAACGACTGAAAGCCTCACGAGATAGACAAAAGAGCTACACCGATAAGAGACGAAAACCCTTGGAGTTCCAGGTTGGTGACCACGTCCTTCTAAAGGTCTCACCCTGGAAAGGCATGATACGTTTTGGGAAACGTGGAAAGCTAAACCCAAGGTACATTGGACCGTTCGAAATCCTTGCTAGGATCGGTCCCGTGGCATACAAACTTCAGTTACCCCGAGAGCTCAGCAACATCCACCCTGTCTTCCACGTGTCGAACCTAAAGAAGTGTCTGTCCGATGAGACACTTGCGATTCCTCTCGACGAGATTGAAATCAACGAGAACCTCAACTTCGTGGAAGGACCTGTCGAAATCATGGATCGGGAAGTCAAACGAACGAAACAAAGTCGCATCCCGATAGTGAAGTTCGCTGGAATGCCAAGCGGGGACCTGAATTCACTTGGGAGGCGAAGATCAGATGAAACAGAAATATCCGCATCTCTTTCCTAATCCATGATTTGTATCCAATGTTCGAATTTCGGGACGAAATTCCCTCTAACGGGGGGATGATGTGACAACCCGAAACTTTGTCTGTTTCCGTTACACAGGTTTCGTTAATAAAATTTCGAATTTGTTAACTTTTCCGTCAAATTTTTGGTTTAGAAAATAATCTAGTTATATTTAATTAAACTATTTACGAGTTGGAACCAAAAATCGCGCGGAAACCCGAAATATCTCGAAAAATCAAGCATTTGCGGTCTAAATGAGATTACGACCGTAAACGTTTTACGGCCGTAAACTCGTTTACGACCGTAAAACTGTTTACGGTCAGTGAAGAGTGGACCCCCCACAACACCCCTATAAATACGATGCCTCCACCTTCATTAGAACATTTCTGGCCAAAAACTCTCTCCTTCTGTCTCTAAGAACCTTAACCGTAAACACTCAAAACACCTTCAAACTTCGGAAATCATCGAGAAACCACGTTTGGAGTCACTTGGGAACGCCTGGAAACGATTATCTCTTCGAAATCAGCAATCATAACCATTTTCTTGAGTTTACGGTCCACCTTCAAGAACCGTAAACCCTGTTCTTGAGTTTACGGTCCAACCTTCAGAAACCGTAAACTCTGTTCTTGAGTTTATGGTCCAAGCCTTCAAGAACCGTAAACTCCTCTTCGACCGTAAACACCTTTTAAGTGGTGTTTTTGACTGAAAACTCACCTTCTTCGATTCGATCAAGTCCCGGTAATATTCCTCAACCGAATTCAAGTGTACCTCTAACACGTTATCTAACGAAATCGCTAATTTAGATACATATACATATTTATTTAATAATAGGATTCCGTTAAGTGTCGCGTGCAACAACTCGAGGATCTTCATTTCAGTCAACGATTTCACAACAAGAACTGTGAGTTCATACCCCTACATTTTCCGTATTTTTTTAATGTGTCCAGGGGGGAATACAAGCTAAACATAAATGTTTTCAAAACTTATGCAAATCTCATACTTTAACCCTTTTGTACTGTGTTGAGCATAAGGAACGTTTTCACAAAAATTTACATAGTTTTCCGGACACACTATTCACTATTCATGCAAACTATAATCGGTATAGTTTGGGATTTTCTAAACATCACGAGTACAGAAACTTTCACTATTAAACATATGCACGAAGACATAAATAGTTTACAGTTACATCACCACTTTATCATGGTTTTTCATAACGATAATTGTCATTATATACGGTATACATACAGATTTTCACTACGGTAGAACGCTACTACACTACATGTAAACTAGATTGTACGATACTGTGAGGCGCTACTTCACTACTGTACCCTTAGGTGTACAGGGATAAATCCTACCACTGTATAACCAGAGTCTCCTGGAGGGAGAGCGTGCGATTTGTGAATAGATCTATTCGGGACTGACAATCCCACATCTGGACTGCTAGCTACAGTTAGGCGGGCACGCCTGAGATGTACAAATGTCATTTACTCTCGACGCCTGAAGACGTTGGAAAGGTCTCTAGTCATATCAAGCATGGTTATACGACTCACATATGTATAAATCACCTTTACTTTACAACTTAACACTCTTCAACAGTTCTATTTTTACTAAATAGAACTGATACACACTACGTATTCTGGCTAAGGCCAGGGTTTTTTTCAAACAGAACCGATTATGCAATGGTTTCACATATAAAATACTTGCACTTCATGATTAGTTTTAGCTAGTCACATGAGGTAGTATTCTCGCATATCACTATAGTTTTCAGTAACGAACATTCATGGTTTTTATACGAAATCGATAACGCTACCCTTTTCATTAAAGAAAATATCGGATTTTCTTGGAAACATACAGATATTCATGGTTTATTACAGAACTGATAACACTACGTTTTCACTAAGGAAAATATTGGATTTTCTTGAAACTATTCAAATATTTTCCGAACTCATCAACGATTTTCACTACAAACCACCGCTTATGAACTCACCAGCTTTATGCTGATACTCTTTTAAACTGGTTGTATTCTCAGGAAATCAGTAGACAGGTTCCTGCTGGGTTTTTGAAGAGTTGAAGCAATAAGAGTTTAATGTTATATTCATACAAGTTATATGATGTAATTCAAACAAGTTTCAGAATTGATGTAAACATTTTTACTTCAGTATTCACTGTAATGGTTGTGTTGCTATGATTGCTGTTATTCATTGGTTGTGATGCTATAGATGTCGTCCTCCACCCCGGAACGTTTCCGCCATCGGTTTCGGGGTGTGACAGGATTGAACCAGAATAATTGAGTTTTAGGGAAAAAAACTTACCAAGAGTTGTATTGTCGATGTGGGACCTAGAGGGATTCGCTTCAGGTGGCGATGGCGGCACTGGCGAAGGAGCCGGTTTACTGACCGGAGATGGAGTGGGTGAGGGAACGTCGTATGTATTGAAATAGAAGAGGGAAAGTGGGTTTGAAATAGCAAAGGGCAAACCTACAGAAGATGCCGGAGGCGATGGCAGCTGGAGCTGGAGCCGGAGACGAAGGCGCCACAGGCGAAGCCGAAGGCGGCGACAGTAGATGGGATTGGAGCTGATGCAGATCGGAGTGGAGGAGAGGCGTCGTTGATGGTTGGGATGGAAAAAAAGGCTGTGTTGTGAAATAGAAGAGAATACGTGGTGGGCAAAACAGTAACCACGCGTGTCTTTATTTTTTCAGATACAATCACATGTCTGAGAAATTAAGAGGTGTTTTTTAATTTAAGAGACAAAAAATAAGATGCTATCAAACATTCTACATCTGAATTTTTAAGAGATTGCCTCTTAATTTTTCAATTAAGAGGTAAACAAACAACCCCTTAGCCTATTTGTACATCTTTATATCGACCAGTTAGTCAGAACCATGTCTCATTGTAATCGATATATATTCTCAATTATGCTAATAAAATCATTCATAAAGAATACCTATCCTTATATGGTATCGAAGATCTAATCATCTCTCTATTAGTGTATATTAGTTTGCATATTACTTAGCCCACTTATGCAGCTTTGTATAGCCCAGTTAGTCAGGCCCATGTCTCATTATAACATGTATTATATATATATTCTCAATTATGCTAATGAAATCATTCATGGGAAAATACCTTAGCCTAATAGAAATGTTCTACTCTATCTCTGTTAGTGTATTATTTTGGACCAAATGATGACAAAACCAACACTTTTTTTTGCTAAATTTATCAATAATTTTTTTTATTTTAACAGGTTGATAGGTTCAATAAAAATTTCCACATTAAAAACATAACCATGCGCAACTGATGAATAAACTCTAGGTGCAACAAACATCAAATGTGGTTTAAAATAAAACTTAGCAAAATAAGTTTCTAATAAATTTTGTAGGTGAGTTAGTTGTTAATAATCAATAGAAGTTTAAGCAAAAAAGGTATCCTATTTTTTGTTTTTATATTATTGTGATGATGAACAATGACAAAATTAATATTATATGTATACGATTCAAATAATTATATGCAGAAAGGCCAAAAAACGAAGGTACCAACTCCTCAATTGTAGCCATCGACTCGGCACTTATGGACCCACACGTGACATCAATAATTTAAATAGTTTCAATTTGGACTCGTTTGTTAAAAAATAAATAAAATTGTTTTTATTTTGGATCTTTCATTAAAAATAGAATTGTTTTCGTTAAGCTTATAATTTTTTTTTTTTATAAATTAGTAACGTTTATTTTCTTCTATTTAAGACCAAGTAAATTGTATTTTACATATTTGATCAATAGTTTTAAATTCTTTGATACATCAAGTCTATTTCAATATTTCTTTGACTATTTCAAATTATGTTTACATGAAAAACACCAAAACAAATTCAAATCAGAGAATATATCACATCACATGTACATAAAAATTAAAATTAAAAAAAATTAATAAAAAACATAAATAGCAAAATCCAAAAAAAAACAAAACGTGGTCTTATCGCTAATCTCGATCGTTGGCGGCTTAACAGCTCTGACTCATTCGCCGGCGTCACGCCACCAACTCCGCCGGCCGACGTCGGCATCAAAGATCTTTTCTCGAGAGCTTATTCGACCGGACCTTGCTCAAGAAAGCCGTCTTCACAGTCTTCCAAAACCCGGTCCTCCTAGCACGACCTCTCATTGAACCGACCCGACCAATACAAGACACCCTCGGAGACCTCGGTTCAGCCACCTGCTGAAAAAAGCTTTTCCCCGGCAACGACCGGTTCTTAGAAAACCGAGGGTTATCCTGCCGATCGTTCTGTTTGGCTTTCCCATCGGCGTTATGCGCCGTCGGTTTTTGCCGGAACCCGATGATGGTTGCCTGAGGTTTCTGGTTAAAGGAAACGGATCGTTGATTAGACCGAGTTTTAGCCTGATCGAATTTTCTTGCAGCTGGCACCAATTTCACCGAAGCTTTGCGTTCGATGTACGTGTGGTTGTCCAACCAGTCTGTTACTTTGTTGTTGCTAACCCAGAACGAGTCCGGCGGGTTGTTATCGTAACCACCCCCGGCGTCTGGTTCAGCATCTAAGGCGATCTCGTTTTCTTCATCTTCATGGTCAAACTCATCGTGAATTTGGGAGTTTTCATCGTCGTTGTATTCGGGATGATCGTCGGCGGTGGAATGTGAATTTAGAACGTTGATGTTGCTGTTGCTGTCGTGATCATGTTCATGATCATGCTCATTGGTGGTGGTAGGAGTCGACTCGGGAATTAGGGTTTCTGAATGCATGTAAATTTAATGTTTTTGTGTGCGTTGACAGAGGTTTTGAGGGGCGGAGAGGAGAAAATGGAAGAACATATACTTGAAAGGGTTTTGGTTTGATTAAAAAATAAAACATCGATTTCGATTTAACAATATATTATAATTTTAATTAATGCATAGATATAAATTTTAAAAATAAGAATATTTATTTTACTTAATAAAATATAACTGAATTGAAATAATATTCACGTAAATTAGAATCAATTTAGTTGCAAATTATCTTTAAACATTTCCCATCATTTTTTCTAAGGAGCATCTTCAATGGTATATTATTTTTGATATATTATTTTTCCACATATTTTTATTTGATAAAATACTTTTACTTATAGCTTCTTCAATAATTAATGTTTTTAAGTTCATTAACCAACACATATAAGTTATCATTTTTCAAAATTATAAAAGACAATAAACTTTTCACATATGTAGTTAAGCACAACTTCGTCATGTATTTTTTTCCGAAACTATAAAAAAGATAGAATTTTCTCATATGTAGTTAAAAAATAAAAATAACTATAAAAAATTATGTAACAAAAATGTTTTGTAATATTTTATATTTTTTAATTTTGAAAGTTGACAACTATTTTTAGATTATAATATAACTTTTTCATAAAATATACTGATATTTATTTTGTCTGTTAAACAAATAAACAAATTATTTATAAAGTCTAGAAAAAATTCAATATCTAAATATGGTCCGTTCCAAAAAAATATTAATAGGGTCTAAAATAAAAGGATACTAATTGTAAGGATCAAAAGTGATAAAGCTAACAAATAGTTAGGTTAACAGTAACAGTCTGCTACACACTCCAAAATGAATTATATATTCCATAATACAAAAAACTAGTCTGAAATACAAAGAATTTATCTGGATTATGTAGAACAGTCTGGAACGGAACTCCATAACAGTCTCGAATTATGTTTGGTGTAATTTTGAAACTAATTTATTTATGCAACTTTCAGCAAGACTACATTTTCGATGTTTTTCTTAAAATGTCTTGCAAACCTATCATTGTTATGGATATTCATGATAAATCAAGAACCAACCGTCATGCGAATATTTGTCGTGTGAATAACTAACCACAGAGTTGACTTTTAGGAGGAGGAAATTTTGACTTGGCACCGACTTTCAGTTTGGTGATTTTTTTTGCGTCCTCGAATTTCGGTTATGACTTTTGATTACATATGTTTCCTATGGTTGTTTCGAGTGATTCTATAAAATTAGAATACTGTGATATATTAATTTGTCAGATATGGATTCCACAGACTTTCCTATAAACATTTTGTATGGAACCCGACAACAAAATGTGATGCCTCGGGCCACTTTATGGTCCAAGCTTAATCGGTTACATAAAAGTCATTGCAACATGGCCGTTGATGTTTATCGGGTATGATTATTTATATAAAGTTTCCATTTTAACTCATATGCATGCGTTGTTAACAATTGATGTAAAATTTTATTAGGAGGATAATCAACAAATAAAAAAGTTAGAATCAGCGGACGAGAGTCATGCTGCCTAGTCATCTTATAGCTCCAAATGGACTGAACTTGTCATTTTACATCAACCACACGATGATAGGGCCCCATTACCTCACAGGTCACCTAATTTTGCGTCTCCATAAAAGCAGGGGCAATGAGATGCCGACAAAGGTTCATATCCATTAGACCGACAACCACCACCATAAATTAGACATGTAAAAAATAAGGACAATGTCATACTACAGTTGAAAAAGTGGCTTCATGAATGTCAAAAGGTAGTTGTTGGCGCATGATATAAATATGTCTTGTGTCGAGGATGCATTAGGGCTACATGTTGACCCTATTGTGGAAGAGCATGGTACACCTAATAACAAGGGTACCACATATATAGGATGACAGTGCCTAACGAGGGTTGAAGGTATATTTTTTTTATATTTTATTTATGGTATACCCGTTATTGCATAATTGATTATTTAATAGTATGAAACTCATACCTTATTGTAGAGTGACATGGTTACCCCCGTAGAACGGATTATCATAAATGATTGTTTTATGTCACATGATGATTATTGGTTAAGTGAGTTTGAGGTACATATTTAATTATATATATATATATATATATATATATATATATATATATATATATATGTATATATATATTTGTGTGTGTGTGAGCGTATGTGTGTGTGTTATACCCGTTGTTATATTTTTGAATACTTAATTGTAATTTACCTTATCTTTTATGTAGGGTGACAATGTTAATACCGTAAAGTAGGATATCCCACAGGACGTGAGCCTATTACATGATGATGACATGTTCATATGTCTACCATATATATATATATATATATATATATATATAATATATATATATATATTATATATATATATATATATATATAAACAGTGTACCTATACAAGCATCTGCAGAGATAGACGTGATCATTGAGGTTCCCTTGTCAGATTACCAAACACTTGATGGGTTTCGAGCATAACAAACAAATCCATATTAATGTGTCGGTTAACCACACACACTCCACTAATGACTTATAAGGTGCAATGTGCAATTTCCTGGATTAGCATCAAATTCACATTTTTCCTAAAGTAACTAAGATTGAGAATTTAATAAAAAACATTTTAGTTACTTTATAATTCATTATACTTATTAATGAAAATTATTTGTCCTATCAAACCAGTTAGGCAAACGACCCTCCACCAATCAAGGAAGCGGTGGGTGTGACATCCCCAATTTCACGGCCAGAAAAGACCGATTTGTTTATGCTTTGTTTTAAAATCAGAGTAATCTTTTAAAGAAAACTGTTGCGGAATTTGTTCCCAAAACAAAATATGATAAGAATTTATTAAAATATTTCTTTAAAGAAATGTATTTTCATTAAATAGCAAAATCTCGGGATGTCATGTTCCAATACAGACCAAAAGCATAAACATTATAAAATAGACCTTACAACAGTTATTTGTAACTACTGATCTATAATCCAAAATCTCTCGTCATGCCAACCAACTTATGCTCTTGTGCCACTACCTGTGACACAAAGAAAACTGAGTGGGTCAGGCTTGGGAGCCTGGTGAGCATATAGGGTTTTCAACCCACAATAATATAATTATTATATTTAATCATCAAACAATCAATCCAATTACCCATCCCCATTATCTTCTTTATTTCTTAAGGTCTTACCCTAATAATCCACTATCCTTCATTCATTCGTTCCTAAGGATTGACCTAAGGAATTGGCACAAAGTCCATTGTTGCCCGAGGTTCATCTACACAGTACTAAATCCATAGCTACCAAGGTTCATCTACACAGTACTAAATCCATAGCTACCAAGGTTCATCTACACAGTACTAAATCCATAGCTACCATTGTATTTATATAAGGAACTAAGTCCATAGCTGCCAGGGTTTTTAGAGTACACCGGTGAACACATCGTTCACAACACCTACAAGTTGCGAGCCTGCTAGTGTTCCACTGGACTGTCTAGAATAGTCCGTGGTTGTCATCCCTACTCTGTTGAATGACGGGGCCATCGTTTGGGTAAAGGTTTCACTCATTTTTCACCTGTCACCCTCATCTCATGATTTATATCATCTTTCGTCTCATCCTCAAACTGATCCTTCATCACACACCAACTATTTCGTCTACTCATGTTCTACCCAACATATTTGTAGATAAAAATTATATATACAGTTTAAACCATTTAAAAACCTGTATAAAACATTCATTCAACATCCATCTCAAGTAAACAACAATATATAAACACATATCACGTATTTCCTAACAAATACTTCATATCTATGTGTTAGAAGAAAGTAACTACACACTCACCTGATTAGACGATGCTCGGAAAGCACTACGGCTCTTCAAGTACTATTCTTTTGATGTAACCGGGATATCTTCACACACCGGGCTTCTCGCGGGCAGAGCTTCGGCTTAAAACTCTTTTCTTCTTGGGATCTTCAGAGCGTCGGGACTCGCTTCGGGTATCGGGGATGATACCGGGGCTTAGGGGGTATAACTTGCACGTAAATCGAGGTAATACGGAGTGAGAGGAAAGAAATTGAGCAACAAAACTCGGTTGCCCTTCGATTCTATTTATAAGGCTGATTTTCGATTTTCACGTCGTGAACCGCTTGTTCACGTCGTGACCTTTGACGTCATCAGGTGCGTAGTTGCGATGTGACTCTGTCAGGCTCTGAAAGGTCAAATCACTGAGTTCACGTCGTGAACCCTCTGTTCATGTGGTGAACCCTGATACAGCTTTGGGTTTCGTGCCCCGAACTTTAAAAATTCATATATTTCGCATACGAGCTCCGCTTTCGACGTTCTTTATATCCACGCGTATGTGAGATTATGCTCTACAACTCTCGTTTAGACTTCGTCGGCTAGTTTTGAATCAATTTTTATTATATTATTTTTAGTAGGCCGGGACAGGAAAACTCCGTTAGGAATTCACAACTCCTTCATCTGACGTCCGTTTTCGTCTATCTTTTTACCTTTGGACTACTATCGACGAGATCTTCGATTCTCGTTTAGATTGTTTCGGCTAGGAACCACTCGATCTCATATTCGAACTTTGGGCTGCATACCGCTAAGTCGAAACTTCGAAAAATCATAACTTCTTCATACGAAGTCAGATTTAGACGTTCTTTTTTATGTACGCTCTCGGTTTAACATATTCTACGACTTTTGTTTAGATCACTAAGGCCAAATATCGCTCTATCGTAAATTCACTACTTACGTCGCGTTGTGTTGTGCCGGTTCTGTCGCGAAACTTCGACATGTCATAACTTCTTCGTTATAACTCGGATTTCGGCATTCTTTATATATTCGGAAACCTTGTGACATATACTACAACTTGGTTAAGATTATTCATTCTAAATAATCTTCTATCAAAAAGTCATTTTTGACGCTCATTGTCCTTAAATTGACTAGCCCGGATCTACGGGCGTTACAGTGGGTGAGAGTGGACA